AAAGGTGAATGATACAACTAAAAGCTGAATATTCTGGGATGATCCGAAGATCGCTTAAAGCCTACAATAGCAACACTAGACCAACAAACCACAACACAACACAAAAAAACACTACAAAGCTCTAATAATGGTGAATCACCGATCCTACCGGGATAACACACGCTCCCATCCAGGAAAAAAATAAAGACAAAAGACCTAAAACCAAAACATAACTCCTAAACAAACAAACTCACCAAAAGAAAACAAACAAACTAAAAAATCGGCACCTGATACCACACCCCACCCAGCGCCACTTGAACTCTAGGAAGGCCGACGGCCAAAGACCACGAACTGGCACCTAATAAAAACGTAAAAATCGGCCACAGATACAAGTTTTCTGCCACAATGTCATAGTTGTCCACAGAAATAACGTAAAAAATTGGCCACAGTGTCATAGTTGTCCATTTTTTCTAGTGAAACCCATTTTGCAGATCTCTCTTACTCCACCAAAAACTTGCTACCATTCTCGCAATTTCCTGACATACACCTTTGGGTAGGCAAAGCAGGACATTGAGAAAGCAGGTAGTGCACTTATAATTGCCTTTATTAAAACTTCCTTGCCAGTTGCAGATAGAAACTGATTTTTCCAGCTTACCAATTTATCTCTCATAGTTTAGGATGTAATGAAAGGATTCCTTCTTAGATCTTCCAATTACTAGTGGTAATCCTAGGTATCTGGTAGATTTGTGCATTTGAATACCTCCCAGCAAATGCAAATCACAACTCTCTTTTCAGACTGACAGTTCGTGCTAAAGAATATGGAGGATTTCCCTAAATTAACTCTCTAGTGAATCTCTAATATTTGTGCAACAAGTTCATTAATACTCTGGCATGGGCCTCATTGGCCTCACACATAATCAATGTGTCATCTACAAACATTAAATGAGACACTGCAGGGCTATGTTTGGCTTTAAACCACAGAAAGAACCATTTGCCTCTTCATCTTTCAAAAGTATAGACAACACCTCATAGATGAGAATAAAGATGTAGGGTGATATAAAATCACCTTGTCCGATGCCCCTAGATGCAGAAATGTAGCCCTTCATTGCACCATTCTTATTGAAAGAAAAGGTAGTGGAGGATATACAAGCCTATACCCAATTCACAAACACAGCATGAAACACCATTCTTAGCATCACATTTCTCACACTCTCCCACTCAACGCGGTCAAAAGCCTTCTCCATATCCAGTTTTAATAACATGTAACTCTTTCTGCCTGGGGTGTGTCTGTTTAGGAAATGCACACTCTCTTGAGCAACCACCACATTATCCAACAACTGCCTTACTGGAATTAAGGCATCCTGATTCTCACTGACACAAGTAGATAGGCAAGGCTTGATTCTCAAAGACAAAATTTTAGCAATAACTCTGTAAGCCACACCACACAGACTGATTGGTCTATAATGCTTCAGGGTAGAAGGGTTCAACCATTTAAGTATAAAAGGTTACTCAAAATTTGTTTAGTCATTATATATTTCTTCCACAAAACTAAAAGCCCCCCACTGAGCCCAAGAGGTTCAATTGAAAACCATCTCTCTTTAAAACCTATTTTATTACATACGGACTTAATGAAATTATTTGATTTTTTGGTTTCTGAAAGAAAAACAAAGTTAGGATGGTAGAGACTTGAAAACTCCTTTATTTATGAAATTGAAGAAGGTCCACCCAACCCTCTACAATTCCACATCATAAGACCTTTGGGGGCCACTCAGGGCTGGCCACCCCCACCTCCAAAGAATTATTCTTCAACTTCTTGCCTCCTTTTAAAACTTTATCTGAGATTTGTTCACTTTCTTCCTTAGTAGCAAGAGCTCTCTTGCCTCTTCTTGGTTGGATCTCTTTTATGTCAGTGCTGCTCTTGGTGGGCTTATTGGCCTGACTTCCAGCAGCTGTGGATTTTCTTGTCCAGCCTCTTTTATTTAGGTACTAGCCATCTCTCGATCCCACATCTATGCCTGGTTGCTGATAGGAATAACTGGTAGAAGTTTGAACACTTCAGTCTCCATGGCTGTGACTAAATTAACATTATCCCCTTGCACCAAATCCCTTTCATCACAAGGCACACAATCTATTTTACCTTTTCATTTTTCTTGTTGGATTGGCCCACCTTGATTTGTATTTTCAAGAACAATGTTAATATCTTTACCAGTTCCATCCTTCACACCACTACCTGATGATTTAAAGCCTAAGTTCTCTTCAATTTGTTGTAGATTAATTTACTGATCATGAGCATGATTATCAGTTGATTCACCTCCTGGATTACAAGTTGACGTTGATTTATATCTATGGTGACCATCTACTGCTCTCAGCCAATCACCATATTGTACCTCTTTTAGGGATCCTTTAGCGATGTCCTCAACCTTTTTGTTGCAATCTCTCTCCAAATGTCCAATGTGGCCGCAATAAAAGACATTAACAAGCTTTTCATATTGTAGAATTGCCATAATCTGAGTATCATGCAATTTAAGGCAAGCCACTCGTGGTAGGGGCTTATTCACATCAATCACGGCTAACAATCGTAAGATACTCCCCCTTTGGTCTCCTGCCTTAATTACTGAAGCATTTTTTGTTTGCAGAAAACTTTCCTCACTTTT